CCTGTCTATATGTGATAGGTATGTCATCCTTGTACCAATTCACCTAAAACTCTTCCATACTTTCTCCAATACATTCACATCCTTCCTATAGTGCCACACATAGAACTGTTAACAGTACTCCAGCTGAGGTCTACCCAGTGTCTTCTGTATGTTAATCATAGCCTCCTTCCTCTTGTATTCTATGCACCTGTTTACGAAACCTAGGACACTTTATATTTTATTAACAGCTTTCAATATCTGTTCTGCTACAGGTTAATGACTGATACACATATGTGCTCAGTGCTCCCTGCTCCTGAAACCCTTTATTTAACATTGTCTCTCGACGTTCTTTGTTCCAAATAACATCATCTCACACTCGTCTGTATTGAAATTTTTCTGCTGCCCATTCGCCCATTCCACTAATGTGTCAATGTTCTTTTGAAATTCTACATTGACTTCCTCACAGTTTACAATTCTCCCGGGTTTTGTGTCATCTACAAACTTTGAAATAATCCCCTTGCACACTAAGATTTAGATTGGTTATAAACATATCAGGAAAAGCAAGGGTCCCAATACTGACCCCCAGAGAACTCCACTGCAAACCTTCTTCCTGATCAAAAACTACCCATTAATATAATTCCTATCCCTTGGGACAATTTTGTATCCACGTTGGTACTGTCCTTTTTATTCTGTAACCTTTAACCTTTCACACAATTCTGTCTTTATTCTGCATCAAATGCCTTTTGGAAGTCTGTGTACACCACATCAACAGCCTTCTCTTTCTAAACTCTTTCTGTTACCTTTTTAAAAACTTCCGGCAATTTATTGAGACATGATTTTCCTCTAACAAATCCATGCTGGCTCTTCCAATCAATCAATAATTTTTCTCTGTGGGAGGTGATGGTGTAGTGGTATTATTGCTGGACTGTTAATCTAGAGACCCCAGATAATTTCTGGGGACCTGGGTCCAAATCCTGCCACAGCTGATGGTGGAATTTGAATTCAATAAAATATCTGGAATTAAGAGTCTAATGATGACCATGAATCCATTGCCGATTGTCAGGGGGAAACACCCATCTGGTTCATTAATGCCCTTTAGGGAAGGAAACTGCCATCCTTACCTGGTCTGGCCTACATGTGACTCCAGACCCACAAACATGTGGTTGACTCCTAACTGGCCTCTGGGCAATTAGGGATGTGCAATAAATGCTGGCCTAGCCAGCAATGCCCACTTCCTATGAATGAATAAAGAAAGTTTGTTTCATCATTGTTGGAAGAATCTTTACGAGGGTCTATTGCAAAAGTGATTCCTGTATAAAAATACTACTTTGGCTGTGAGCATATTGGAGTGTTCCAAGGTCATGAAAGTTGCTAAATACAGGTACCATTTATTTATTTTGTAATTAGATATAGGAGAAAGAGAGATTTATTCAAATCGAGCAAGGTGTTTGATGTGAAAAAAGTAGATGGAGGTTTACTCTTGGCTGGGGAACTGCATGATACTGATTCTTATTATATAGGAATTAAAAAGTCACCTGGGACCAACATGGCTATTTGTTCATTGGTGTGAATTAATTAATTAAGTCATTGTAAATGGATTAGGTGTTTACTGCACAAGCAGAGCCATTTGTTGCACAGGTTGAGTAAATATCTACACTTTTATATGTGTGAACCTTTGTAACAGCTGGAAAGTAGATTGCAGGCAACTAATAGCAATTTGTATATTTATAGTAACTACATATATATTATATAAATACTATAAATACGACCAAGTTCAAAATGTGAGACCACGAAATTAAAGAAACAAATTGAATAGTTAGATGGGTTGTGATGCTTTTTTGATAAGGTGGAGCTAAAAGTGGAAAGCCTGATGATTTAGACATTTATTGCCCACCCTGAATTGCTCTTGAGAAAGTGGCAGTGAGTTACCTTCTTGAACTGCTAGGTTGGCCAGGTCCCCTGACCCTGAGCAGACCAAGCTAATGACTAACTGTGGCCAAGCTCCTGGACAGTGTGCAGTCTGCGCTGTGACTGATGGCAGTGGGACCCTCCTGATAGTCACTAGGTCTGCCTTGGCTAGACTGAGGACTATCCCCGTCTTACTTTCAGACGTGGTGATTTGATTGAATGAACGTGTTGTGTGTTTGCTCTGCAGTAGGCTGGCACGTGCTGCTGGTGTAGGACTCAGTGTCTCCGAGCGCTGTACAGCAAGTTGTTCCCCTGCACTTTAGCATAGATCCCTCTTGACAAATAAAAGAGCATGTCGATACAGCAGTACTGATGGTGTTAAGGGTATGGCTGAAGTGCCATCACAATAACAGGCATGGCACTGCATGGTAAAGCACAGAAAGGCATGGATGGTGACAGATGGGGCAGGGAGGCACAAAGTGAGCAAGCAGGAGAGTTTGCGAGCAGCCCTGACATGCAACCTGGTCTAATACTTGAGCTGGAAGCCTGCCCCTGCTTGGAAAGTCCTGTCCCCTGGGTGCAGCGTTGCAATGTTATTTGCCGGTGTGGTCTACAATGTGACTGTGTGCCGCCTAAACAGCCCACAAGTGGACCGGAGAGGCACTGCAATGATTGTGAGGATTTGGCAGATATTGATGCCAACATCCGTGGATGAAGGGTGCATGTGGCTGGTGCCCCATGGAACATGTCCTGAGGCATCGCTTGGCGCTAACGAGCATGGAGGCTGATGACAGTCAGCCATTGAGCTGAAGTTGCCAGGTACCCAGTGCTCCGCCTTCCATTTTGGGTTTTCTCGAAGAGTATCTTGCTTGAGTAAGCAAGGAGTCTGAGTATCAATGAGGTGTGTTGTGGCATTAATGAGGCATTTACCGATCTTTAATCCCTGTCAATGATCACCGATTGTTGCCCAATGATAATCTCACTGTGTCACCTGGCAATTGCATAGAAGATGCAGCGAGTAGCTCAAAATGTTGAGACAGGCTTTGCAGACTCCATGTATGTTCCAACATGAAACTCACTATATTCCAGGTTGCTCATGTCCTTATAAGATTATGTCCCATGCCTCCATATTTAGAGGTAGAAGAATGAAAATGAATTGGCAAAGGATTTAAGAGATTGTTGGGACAAACCATGTTGTGCAAACTTAGCCATACAAGGTACGGATTTTGGGAAATCCTCTGCCTTAAAACTGTATCATTATCATTCAGATCCAGAGAAACTGGCCTGGTTGAAAGCAGACATCCAATACATGTTGGAAATCCATTGACTTGATCTGGCCAAAGCACCAGGAGTTTCTCAGTAGTGTAAGTTCCTAAGTCTGAGGATTCAACCAGATCTTGTGTCAACTTTAGATTTTTTTAGATGTTTTTTAGATTTTAGATTTTTATTGTCATAGGCACTCAAGTGCAGGAATACAGGAGTACAGTGAAAAGTGTACAAAGTCACCATTCTCCAATGCCATCTTATTATACAAAAGACAGGATTAAAAACAGAAGCAGATAAAAAAGAAGCAGTCAAAAAAAGAGAAAGAAATGTCCAGATTGTTCCCTCGCCTCCACCATACGTCCTTGCTACCTGAAAAACAAAGCCACAAAGTTCATCCCTCAGTCTGTGAACACTCAGGTGCCCCCGCTCCCCCCCCACCAGCCCCGCCCAGACCCCACACACCAGACAGCTGGAATGCCACCGCCTCCGCTATCAGCTGTGCCCAGCCATGGCCTGAAGCCACAGCAGCACCAGAACCATGTCGCCATTCTTTGGCGCCACCCTGCCTCCACCGATGTCCGCGCCGGGTCAATCTCGGCAATGCAGCTGCTTCTGGGCCCTGAGCTGGGCTTAAACTCTACGCTGGGCCCACCACACTGAAACAGCCTGCACCCTCACTATTGTGACTCGAACAGCCTCTCTCTAAGCACCAGGCGGCACAAGGTGGTGTCAGCACATGGGCAGTCAGTCCTGAGGCGGAGGAGCCTGGCTGGACCAGGACCCAGAGCCCAGCGCCCGCCTCACTGTCCCCGTTCTGGCCACGGTCACTCCTTCCTCCCTTCCCATAGCCACCTGAAGCTGCCCTTCGGTGCAGTAACAAAAACAGACTCTTACTCAATACCTCGCCTGGAGGACACTATTGATGGAGTTGGCTGTGCCTGATTTCTTCCCAAAGTTGATTTAACAAAAGGATACTGGAAAACTCATTTAACACCCGTGTCTAAAGATTTATCAGTCTTTTGACACACTAGGTTGCATTTCCAGAGCTGACTGATGCTATCTGGACTTAGAAGAAAGTTCTCCAACAACATTCCAGAGTTTGATGAACCAAATGGTAGCCCGTGTTCCTAGCTGTGCAATTAAGCTTAAAGATGTGCTATGGAACCATGACACTTGGATGAACTATTTTAAACAGCTGGAAGCTTTGTTTAGGAACTTAAAGTCAGCTGATAAGCCTGGCCAAAAGCAAATTTACAAAGGCAAAAATAATCTACCTATGGCTAGGGAAGGCATGCCAAGATCAGCAAAAGTCTAAGCATTCATGGAGTTTCCTGCCCCTAAATCTAAATGGAAAATAATGACATGTTTTGACATCTCGATCAGTGAACTGGTGTTGGCTGCGGTAAGTTTCACTGAGCCTTTCAAGGTAGCAGTTAATGCCAGGAGTTGCATTGGACATAGAGATGCCATGAGGATATTTTTCTTGAAAACTAAATGAACACCAAAAAAAAAATGCTCTACAGTAGAAAAAGAAACCCTGGGATTGCTCTTACACTTTGAAATTCATGTCCATCACAACGACAGAGAGACGCTGGTATATATTGATATCCGGCCTTAGGCGTAGCACGTTATAGAGGTGATGATGTAAAATAAATAAAGGTTTGTATTTACAGAGTCAGAGACTTCAAACCTGTTACCACGACTATCACAGATGGCGCCAACCGCGATTGGTCAGTACCTCATGTCAGGATCCAATCAAATGACCCAGTTGCTTTCGGAAAGAGCCAATGATGTTGGCTGAATGAGCAGCTATCAAAGGGGAGGGGCAGCCCTGATGGATAAGACCCCATTACAAACTGGGGAGGCTAATCCTGGATCTGACATCCGCAGTAAATTATGGACGGTCCCAAAGCAGTGATGGCTGTTCACTAATCTGCAGCCTGCCTACTTCGACTGTAACACTTGCCCTGTGGCCATCAAATACAGGGCAAAACAGTGTAAGGTCTGCCTTGTGCCCACCAAATCCCACCCCAGCCAGCCTAAGTCCATGTGAATAATATGGGCTACATCTAGATGCTGACGTTGGCAGCTGGATATCACTTCCCAGTTACTTTCCTGTTTACACTAGATAATCCCAGTCTTGGAGATCAAGCTATTTAAATGCGTCACACTCACAACTGTGTGTGTAAGAAGCGAGCTCAGGGTGGTATCATGTTTAAATAGACTGCCTGACTGACTATAGTCCTCAATGTTTGTCAGTATGATGGCAACAAGAGTTGCAATAAGCATGTTATACAGTTAACCACCTGAACGAGTGGGTCATTTGATGTTTACATGGTTTAGTTTCTATAACGTACATCTAAGCCACACGTCAAAGGAGGTTGCAATTAATTTGACACCCATTTTTGTCTGCGTAACCAGGGAACTGGTGCTAGAAGGATTTGGGCTGTATTTATTTAAAGTAGTGTATACAGACGGCAGAATAAATTAGGAAACATCAAGATTTTACACTGTTTGAACATGATCCACACTCAGTGACTGAGAATGATATCAAGTTGTTTGGCTTTCCAGCACTTGAGGCGATGATTTTCAGTATAACTTGCTCCTATACCAACAAGTTCCAGGTCTACCAGCCCCAGGCTGATCATATTCTATATCTCCATGTTCCCACTTCACCACATTCCAGATCTCTCAGCTTTTATTAACCAGATTGCAAATTTTCCGGCAGTCATAAATCGATTGCAAGTCTCCTGATCCCTGTGCCGTCATGTATCAGATCTCCTAAGACCCAGACCATCCAATTTCAGGTCTCCTAATCCAAATACTATTAAAGCTCAGATTTCCTAATCCAGCATCCCAGATCATAGGCCATCTGATCTCTTTACAGATCTCCTTGATCTCTTTGCCCTCACACTATCTGGTCCCATATCTCCCAGGTTCTAGAGACCAGATTCCTGATGCCATAGACCTCTATCATTAGGTTTCAATTCTACCAGCTCCCATAACATCAGACCTTCAATACTATGGTCTCCTGGCCAGTAGATCCCAGGTCTCTCAGTCCCTGTACCATTAGTTTCCTAGTCTCTCTATACAACCACATCCCAGATCTCCTAGTCCCTGCCATGTCAGATGTCAGATCTCCAATCCTCATAAAATCCTGTCTTAGATCTCCTAGCCTCTATACGCCAGATCCTTGATCTCCTCACCCCCAATCCATTCGATCCAAAATCTCCTAGTCCCCATACTATCTGATCACAAGTCACCCAGATTCCATGTATCAGATCCCAAATCCCCAGATTCGATCAGATTTCTAATCTCCTAACCCCGATACCATGAGATCCATCAAAGATAGGAACATAAGTATTAGGAGCAGGAGTAGATGATTCAGCCCCTGAAGCCTCCCCTGCTAATTTATAATTTTGGCCTCAACTCCATTTTCCTGCCAGCTCTCCTCCTTAACCCTTCAGCACATTCCAAATTAAAAATTTGTCTATGTCTTCCTCAAATTTAGTCAGTGTCCCAACACTCTCAGGTAGTAGGTCCTACAGACTCATGACCCTATGAGAGAAGTAATTTCTCCCCATCTCTGTTTTAAATCTGTTGTCCATTACCTGAAAACTATGACCCCTTGTTCTAATTGCCCCCCAGAAGGTAAGCTCCACTTGGATGAGCGAAGTCTGTCAGAATGAAACACAGTTTTTAACAAAGGCAATGGTTTTGTTCTCCCCAATATTTAACTGGAGCAGATTTCTCCCTGGGATGCCATTTGATCCAAATGAGAAATCAAGGATATTTTTTTCCCTCTCATCGACTTTGTAAAGGGATTTGATATCGAAAAGTAATTGATGGCATGGGACTACTGTAAAGGATATGGACCCTGACAATAATCCAGTGGTAGTCTAGAAGTCATGTGCTAGATGTGCACTAGCCAAGCTGTTCTGGTACATCTACAACACTAGCATCTACCTCATGATATGGAAAATTGGCCAGGTATGTCCCATGTACAAAAAAGAAGGACAAATCCAACTCAGCCAATTTGGGGTCCTCCAGGGCCACTTAAATCTTGACCTCTTGACAGCTTTGGCTGAAACATGGACAAAAGAGCTGAATTCCAGACGTGAGAGTGACTGTCCTTAACATCGAGGCTCCTTTTGACTGAAGGTAGTATCAAGGAGCCCTAGCAAAGCTGGAATTAATGAGAATCGGGGGAAAAACTCTCCCCTTATTGCAGTCAAAGGAAGGTAGTTGTCGTTGTTACTGATCTGTCATCTCAGCTCCAGGACATTTCTGCAGCAGTTCCTCATGGGACTGTCCTGGGCCCAACCGTTTTCAGCTGCTTCATCAATGATCTTCTCTTCATCATAAGGTCAGAAGTGGAGATGATTATACAATGTTCAATGTCATTCATGAGTCCTCGCATCCTGAAGCAGTCCACATTCAAATACAGCAAAACCTGGACAATATTTAGGTTTCAGTTGACAAGTGACAAGTAACCTTCATGCCACACAAGTGCCAGGTAATGTCCATATCCAACAAGAGAGAATGTAATCATCACCACTTGACATTCAATGACATCACCATCACTGAATCCATCACTGTCAACATCTTGGGGGTTACTATTGACCAGAAACTGAGTTGGACTAGACATAAAATGCTGTGGCTTCACGAGTAGTTCAGAGGTTAGGAATCTTGCAATGAGAAGATCATCTCATGAACCCTAATGCCTCTACACTTGCCTGGATGAGGGCAGCTCCAACAACACTCAAGAAGATAACATTATCGAGGAAAAAGCAGCCGGCTTGATTGGCACCAGATCAACAAACATTCACTCTCTCCACCAGGGACGCTCAGTAGCAGCAGTGTGCACTATCTACAAGGTGCACTGCAGAAATTCACCAAAGATCCTCAGACAGCGCCTTCCAAATCCACAAACATTACCATCTCAAAGAACAAGGGCAACAGAGACATGGAAACAGCACCAATTGCAATTTTTTTCTCCAAGCCCTTATCATCCAACTTGGAAATATACCACTGCTCTTTCATGTCAAAATCCTGGAACTCCCTCCCGTATGACATTGTGGCTACACTGAAATGCAGTGCAGAAGTCCAAGAAGGAAATTGGGGTTTTAATTCGAAGTGATGAGAACATGCAAATTCTCAGCAGTTCCACTGACCATGGAAGTGAAGCAGCCTAACAACAAGATGGAAGAGTGCACCTCTGCGTGCAATTTAAAGACAACAGGATCACTGCCATGTTGACACTCTGAAACACAATAACTGGATACAGCCACACACACACACACACACACACACACACACACACACACAGACATAGACACACAC